GCTGCTGTTTATAACTTCATAGGAAAGAAAACACGCCATTCATAACAGTTTGAATGAGGAAACCTCTCCCAAGAGCAACAGGAATTATGCTGCAAGACAGGCATATGTAACGATCACTTAGCGCAGTTAAACTCGTGTCTCATTATATATAGTTCTTGTGACAACAGGCCAGCGAAAAATCTAACAATATACAGCAAAACCATCAATTATTATGGGCGTTATAACATAGGTGTGCAGCTGGATGAAACATAGACGTCGAACCCCCGCAGACGATTTAAATACCTGACGAAACATACACGTCAAACCACGCTGAACGGTTAAATGAGTTTACCATATACAAGTAGGGGAGCCAGGATAGCACAGATGGTATAGCAACTGGCTATGGGCTGCATGACCAAGGGGCCCAAGAATTTTCTCCTCTCCACATTGTCCAGACTGCTTCTGGGACTCACCCAACCTCCTATCCAATGGGTACTGGGGGCACTATCCCCAGGTGTAAACCAGCAGAGGCATGAAAGTAACAACTCACCTCCAACTACTTCCAAGGTCAAGAAACTGTGGATCTATACATCCACTCCCCTATATATCTTCATGGCATAGTGCTTAATTAGTTAAGCACAAGGGAAAATTTTACCATATACAAAGAGACTGGGTGGTACCACTGGCCAAAGGTGAAAGACGTGATGGCTACAGATCAATGTCCAATTATATCCCATGATCCTACTTTTCAATGTGATCAAGTCCGTATTACAGCTGAACTACATTCTCAGCTGTGATGTTCTCTGCAGCAGTAAAATTTTATATTGTGGTCTTCTGGGTTCTATGCAAAACTATTTCTATCCTGATGATGGAGACAGTGTGTATTCTTCAAAACATTGGTAACTGCCTATGAAAGTACATGCTGTCATAACCAGAGGACTACGTGGAATCTGATGTTCTCACGGTGGTGAATACGAAGATTACTCTCACCTAGGGTGTGACACCATACTGTCAGGTCTACCCTGAAGATGAAGACAGCATGTTCCTCCAAAATGTTGACAAAAATCTGCCAGACTATACACTGTCTATCCCAGAAGACCACTTTTGGACAACACTAACACAGATAATGAAAAGAAGTATATTTAGTCACATCATCTGCTGGCCTCCTATACACAATATATCAAAATTGCGATCTGTGTAGGAAGAACCCTAACACAGAATCTAAACAAATTAGTTTTGGAGCTTGCCCCGACAGTGAGAGGTCATGTATAAAGGAGTATTTTTCATGGGTCCCTTATGTTGCTTCTTGTATTAATAGTGTTGTTAGCTGGCAAGATAATGACACAGCTGCAATTTTGCCCATTCCTTGCCTTGCCCCTGAATTGTGTGCATATGATGGATAATTTAACCCTTTTCTATCTGCTGTGGAAAAGCTTCCAACAGTTGTGACTTTCCCATATACAGGTATGTCTCCTGTTCGAAACCATCCACCATTAACTTCTGAATTTACTGTCATACTACGTGTACATACAATTGTGCACCAAGCATTATATCTTTATCCTTTATATACTGTGATATATAATCTAGCAGTATATGTATGGGAAGAACAGATGAGAGGGGTCTTATATTTTCCCATACTAAGTCAGTATCTTTCATTTATATTTTATCACAAATTAATCTGTACCTAGTAGGAATGGGGTTCAAAATGGAAAGGATGGGAAAGGGTTATGTCTTATATGCCACAATGCTGTATTCTATAAAATAATGATTACTTTTAAATGATGTTACAATTCACTCACCTTCCCTTCCTTCACCTTGAGCAAGCATGCGTGAATCTACATACTCAGGACGTCGTCCTGTCAACCAGCAAGTTAGCTTCTGTAGAAGTGATGTTGATTCAGGCACAAACATGGCCAATCTGTCACAAACAGTAGGCTTTTACTGTTGGCCAGTAAGGAGAAAGTCCCTCATCAATGGAGTGGTGCTTTTCTAATAACTACAAACTACTGGCGATACTCATGATATGTGAATAATAAAGAGAACGGATTTATTTACTTATAGCTTATTAAATGAAGCAGCTAGTAACTCAAGACTACACAGCACAGGACTGTTTGATCATAAACAGTGAAACTCACTGTGCAATTGCAGTGCACTAGTGTGTAAACATTTGCCTGATGATGGCTATGAATAGCCGAAACTTGTAGCAAAGCTAATCTAGCCTTGAACACTGTATTGTTGTGTTGTGATGCACTTAATAAACAACTGTATATAATAACACAACAGGATGCATGAAATGAAAATTATAAACAATGAAATGGCAAGGACACAGAAGTTGTGGAATAATCTTAGGCACTATCCCAGCATTTGCTTGGTATGACTGAGTAAAGCCACAAAAAACCTCAGTCAAGATAGTGTCCCAGAAAAACTGAACCAGCCACCTCCCAAACCCAAGAAAGAAGCATTATGGCTTGAGCCAGCTTGCACGGTAAGAGAATGGAAGAATACATGCAGGTTATTAGGAAAATCTGAATTATATGTTTGATACTTCTGTGGGTTTATAAAGATTCATGACTGACTATTTAACATTTTGGGTTCTGAGAATGCTTCAAACCATTTCTGAAAAACATTATCAATACCTCTAACTTACTCATGGCATTTCTAGAGCCCTCTAGCTATTAAGAGTAGAACTGTTGGGTTCCCTTAACCTTTAAACGCCAGACTTCGAAACAGTGGTAAGCTTGAGCTGGCCGGAGTTTATTTAAACGCCCGCTGCTGGTGCGTGTTTAAATGTCCATTGCTACTCTGCGTTTAAATGTTCGTTCCTATTAGGCGCTAAATTACTCTTAAGCGTTGTGTTTGTCAATAATAAAGCATGTTACTTTATAAAAAATTGTTGCTCATGACTTTCAGTA